GAAAGGGGGTAGGGGGGAAGCGATATCTAGGTCCTAGGTCAAGAGAGTGGAGGAGTGGAGTCCCAAATATTGTCCTCAGCACACAGGAGTCAACCCAGCTGGTGGCAGTCTTGTCCACCCCCTACCCCCATCACCACCACCACCACCCTACCACCCCTCATGGTTCCTCCGGTTCCCAGTAGAGTTTTCAGAAAGCCACAGGGTTCCTGAAACAAGACGAGGACAAGCCCTAGAGAGAAGGAGACAGCCCAGGGACAACAGCCTAAAAATGACCCCAGAAGCAAAATTAAAGCAGAGCGCTAAGATACTATATAATTTAAGAACAATTAGAGGTGGTTTCTCCCCAAACTGGCTAGAACAGAGTACATTAAACCATATTGAGTACACTAAAAAAGCAAAAATGCTTTTAACCCCAGGACTCAGGGCGGATCTCTGAGTTCAAGGCCAGTATGGTCTAAAAGGTGAGTTCTAGGACAGCTAGGGCAACACTATGAAACGCTGTCTCAGAAACCAAGCAAACAAAACAAAGAATAAAAACCAAGAGCCAGCGAGATGGCTCAGTGGGTAGGGGTGCTTGCTGCCAAGCCCAGGGACCTGAGTTCAATTCCCAGTGGTGGAAGAAGAAAACTGAATGCCTCAAGTAGCCCTCTAACCTCCACACACAGATAAATAGTATAAAAAAGAAAGCCTAGAGAAGAAAGTCCTCTGGTTCTGAGCGCCATCCTTTCTCTTCACTCCACGTCTGGGGCTTCCAACTGTATTCCCGGACGCCGCCACTCTGTCCCCACCTCGACCTCAGAGACCTTTGGCTAGAGCAGGTGGGGGCTGCTACTGGAATTTAGAAGGTCGAGATAAGGAATGCTGAAAGTAGGCAGAGCAGACTCCAACTGTCGGGGAGCTGCAGTAAAGAGAAGCCTTGCCTAGAGCAAGCCTTCTCCTCTCCCAGGCCCAGCGGGAGCTGAACTGAACGGAAAGTAACCGGAACAGAGCAAAAGTGGCTGAGAACCTGCATGAAGATCATCCAAACTTAGCTATCAGCCGGGAATGGCCGAAAGTCTACGTCTGTTATCCCAGCGTGGGGGAGGCAGAAGCGGGGTGCTGGGGTCCAAGACAATGCTTACATAGTAAGTTTGAGGCCAGTCTGAAGTCATTATTATTAGGAATATAATATAATAATAATAATTAATAATAATAAATCAGCCCTAGTGATTCCCTTTGACTAGTCCGAAGCCACTAGGTATCTAGCCCCTCTGTGTCTTTTTTTCCAGCGCCCAAAGGTGTTAAGTAGAACCCAGTCCCCTGAGCTGACCATCTGAGATGGGCAGCGATGACCAGGCAGAGCGGGAAAGGTGATATAGACACATAAATAAAATAAGGAATAAATGAAGCCACACCCTGTGCATGTCAGGAGCGGAGCATTGTGAGGAACAGTGGGGAGGGGGATAAAGTTATCCCAGGGGACCAGGTGGCAATAAAGGAATGTAGAGACAGGCTGGGAAAGCAGCCCACGCCGCACCTCCATTATCCACTCACCCTCACTAAGATATTCAGCTCACGCTTCCAGGCATAAGAAGATAAGGACGGCACATTCCCTACTCTCCCGGCACCGGCAGCCAAGCCCGGGTGATGAAATGTATACACAAAGAAATGGAATACACGATGCTTCTCGGAGAGGTACAGCAGGTGCGGGTCACGATGTTTAGAAAAAGAATGCTTGTCTACACAGGGTGAAACCACGCGATGGTTGGTTGGGTGTTAGCCAGCCCATGGCCCTGCTGGGGCCTGAGCCCAGGGCAGGGTAACCGGAGGGGTCAAGCCACCCTGCTGACAAGACTCTCTGCGGGTGGGTAGGAGGGGGGGGGGGACTGTGGCAGGCAGGGAGTCCTGGCTCGTCCTTCCTGGCTTGTCTCCGGCTACTCAGCAGAACTCTCTGTGCTTCGTTTCCTTTTCCATGCCTACTCCCAGGCAGTGAAAGCCTCTCTACCCTTGTTCAGAGCCTCACAGTTCCTGAAGCAGCGAGGATGTGAGCGATGAGAGGAGCAGCCGTCAGTGCGGTCCCAGAAGGACGCAGCAAACCTAACTCACACATGAACTTCGGTTTTCTCCCCTCATGTGCCTCTGGCTTCTTCCAGTAACGGCAGTTCTGAGAGGCGCTCAGGTGAAAAGCTCCTGGCTTTGAAGGCATGCTAATAATTCAGTGGCCTTACTGTTTGCCAGGGCTGCTGTTAACAAGCATTTGGGCTGACTGCCCCAGTGAGCTTTCTCCTCTGACAAGGAAGCAACAGAAAGGTCAGCAGCCGGACACAGAAAGAGGAGAAGGGTCCTGAATAAACACAGACAGTTTAATCAACCATGAAGAAACCCAAGAGTTGACTGGAAGTGCTTTGTCAGGGGCAGAAGGGAGGCCTCTGCCCTCGGAAAAAGGCGAGGAAGGTTGGAGGTCACTTACTGACCCCAGAGGCTGCCATGGGGCAAGTGTTAGTGGGAAAACTTAAAAACATAAAAAGACCAGAAGGCTTAGAGGGAGGAAGGGAAGGAAAGGAGGGGGCGAAAGAGAAGGAGGGGAAAGGGGACGCCAGTATTTGGGTATTTTCCAGGGTACTGGGCAAACACATGTTCCCTGGAAAGAAGACAAAAATATCTTAGCTCAATAAGAAAGGAAGATGCATCCTGTGTGAGGACTGGGAGAGTTGGTTATCCCTCAGGCTTCCATCCTCCGTGCCTGTCATCTCTGATTCCAGCTTCCTTGCGGTATCTGAAATATTGGTTTCTTCGAATTACATCAGTGCCCTTTACTTACATCTAAAATAATCAAGGTCAAACTCTGTTGATACATGGAAGGGAATGTAGATGAAGGGGGTAAGCCCTCTCTCCGGCCTGTAATTACTATCTTTGTAAACCTGAATACCCAGTCAGACGAACGCCTCCTCCACACATCTTGTCGCGGTTAGAAAACACCTTTAAACAAAAGAACCTAGAAACCGCAGCAACATCAGTGTCCAAATACGTCCAGGCCTATTTTTTTTTAATTGGAAGTCAAATGCCTTTAGATGAGCAAATCCATGATATAATTTAAAAACTGCCCATTTTTAGATAATTCCTGAGAGCATTCTGCAAGCCATCAGAGCAGCTTGATGTCAGCCTCTGTGTTTATAGACTGTTTCTGTCAGAATGGGATAAGGGATGTGGTCCTTCCCCAGTTGACTGTGTGTAGTTTGCTTACTTTTTCTCTATACAACTAAAGACGCAATTCATTAAAAGTCATAAAACTTACTGTTTTGACAGCTATTTCTAGTAAGGCTAGCAGGCACGGAGTAAAGACTTCTCCGCTAACACCCTCAGCAAGCAGGAAGGCCTCTCTCAGATCCTCTGGTTTCGTAGGCGGGACTCTTTTCTCCAGTGATCTCTGTTTCCGTGATCTGGCCTGGTAAAGCGTTTCTTCCTTTAGGCTCAGCGCAGTTCGTGTTAGAGCTAAGTCTGCGCGCCCAATAATTTACGAGGGGGTAATAGGAACAGGAAGGGCTGTGTTGTTTTTTTCCTCGACCCTTGAGGATTACGAATAAAAATTAAGCCAATTAAGGGGCCCGATTGCCTAGGATGTCTTAGGAGGAAATGACTTCCCAAGGCATGTGGGAATTATTAAAAAATAATTTTCCCTCGGAATTATGTGTTGCTACACAGAGGCCTATAAAACGGGGTCTCGGAAGGGAAAAACGGCAAATTGTATGGAAAACGCATTCTGTTTTCCACAATAGAAGGATAAGAAACAGGCCAAATGCAGCTTCCCGGTTGCCTTGTCAAATGAGAAGTCTCTAAATTCAGATACAACAGGCTTGCTCAGGAGAATGAAGGACACAGGAGGCATGGATCCCCAAGCCACACGTGGTAAGAAGACAAAAATCAAACAAAAACAAAAAAAAATCAAGGATCTGACTTTCCTCTTTGTTTTTCTTCCTTTCTTTTTTCTGTTGGTTAGCATTCACCCCCAAACTGTACGGTTGGGTTATCATGTTTGTGTCGTGTCTGATGTCACAAGCAAACCATACAATATCGCTGAGGCTGTGACAGGCTGGCCAGAAGAGAGGCCGAGCCTTGCCTTGGGCAGAGCACAAACAGCCTAGTGTGTTGGTGAGAGACTGGTTGTGTTGGTGAGGGACTGGCCTCCAGCCTGGGGTGTTCTCCAGCCTCTGTCTGCCCCCTAGCGGAAAGTCTGGGGGATGCGTGAGTGTTCACCGAAGAGGGTTCACTTATTGAAACCTGAAATAGGGCTTCCTGCGACCTGGCCATCTGCAGCCCTTGTTCCCCAGCATGGCCTCTCCTTTTCTCGGAGACCCAGGAAGCTCACCCTTTGAGTATTCGGCCGCCCCCCTTAATGAATACTTCTATTTTAGTGTGTTTTTCTGAGGCCTTCCGTCTGCCTCTGACAGCCCTGATCCCCACATCACAGCAATCAGCAACAGACACCTTTCCCAGAAATGCAAATTATCCTCCAGTCCTCCAAACTAAAGAAGTCACACAGTGCTGTGCTACTGAAGACGTTGCCCCCACAAAAGCCCCTGTGTGACCCAGAATGGGTCTCTGTGCTCTCTCACTTCCTCACAAGACCCCGCTAGTTGCCAGACTTGGCTCCGGGGACACAAAGATACTTGGCCAAGGCTCTTTCCTAGCGATGCCTGTATCCCAGAGACAGAACAGTCTATCCTTGATTGCCACGAGCCTCGGTCCACGACCCTCCAAACCCACGCTGTGCTTCGGAAGCAAAGACCGCGGGGACGGAGCCAGGGGATCGGTCCCAAATTCTAGTCATAACAAAGCTAAGCCAGCGAGCGCTTTGTTCAAATGACTCAGGTAAGATAATGAGGCCGGCACAGGCCGTCCTGACACCACACACCTCTTGAATGCCCCGGCTGTGCTAGGAACCGCTGATGTCACCGGGTATTTTTTTCATCCCGTCCCAAGCTGCAGGGCTGTGTCAGCCTTGCAGATGTGGCCGAGGGGAGGCCAGTTTTGCTGCGAGCTCCCTTAGATGACAAATTGCGCGCTCCTCCGGGAGGCTCTTGGCTCTCATCAGCCCTCTGCGCGGCTTGGCTCACTTCAAACAACTGTTATGCTGTTGTTTTCTTCTTGAAGTCCCATCTTCTCCATTACCGATTCCCAGATTCCATATGCCCCAGAGAAGGAAGGGTAAGTATCTCAAATGACTCCTCAACTCTCTGGGTCCAGTGCGCAGACCCGCACTTTAGAACCGGAGGGAAATGGTATTGATTGGTATTGGTGTCGGAAACGCTGGGAGAAAAACCAGATTAAGGTTCTTCTAAACACCCGGCTCTTGGCGGAAATGAGTGCAGAGAGTATAGAGTTGGTGTTGGCTGGACAGCTAGATCTCTAATGCCAAAGGAAGAAGAGGCTGGCAGAGAGCCCCAGGAGAGGGCCTGCTTCCTGGGCATGAGGCGTCTTGTTCATTTCTCCCTGACAAGCAAGTTGAGGGACCAAGTCGTTACTCCTGGTCTTTTCGGGGCCCCCTATGAGAAACAGGATCAGCAACTGAGAGCAATTGGCCAACCCTATATTTTAAATCTAAAACATTTTAACTGATAAGAAAAAAGAAAACATTTTTGCCTGATACAAAACTCCTGAGAGAGATGGCAATCAAGAGGGGCATAAGGGGGGATGGGAGATCAGCTGATGATTGCTACATCAGAGGCCGACTGAGAAATCTTCCATACTTGGAGGGAATTAAATACTGGGTGCCGAACCACGTCGCCTATACCAGGTGGTACCTCCTAATTCTTCCTGAACAGTTCTACCAACTGGGGATTATAGATTCAAATCTATGATCCCATGGGGCTATTCTGATTCAAACCACCAGAGCCTTCCATGTCCCAGCTTTGGGTTCTGTCTTGGTTAGGTCTACTTTCTATTGCTATAATTTTTTTTAAAAAAAAAAAGTAATAATAAAATAAGCAACTATGAAAAGAAAGGATTTATTTGGCTTGCACTTCCATGTCTCCCTCCATCTCTGAGGTGAGTCGGGGCAGAAACGTGGAGGCAGGAACTGAAGCAGATGCCTTGGAGGAAGGCTGCTTACCTGCTTGCTCCTCCTGGCTTGCTTAGTCTGCTTACTTATAAACCCCAGGATCTCCTGCTTAGAGGAGGTACTGCCACAGTGAGCTGGGCCCTTCCACATCAATCATCAATCAAGACAATGCCCTCAAAACTTGCCTACAGATGGAGGCAATTTCTCAACTTAATGTACCTCTTCCCAAAAATCTAACCAGCACAATCACATTAAATTTCTACTGGTTCTGCATTTTCGTTTCTCCTCTGTGTCCTCAATAGCACATGTGATTCATTTATTCAACAACTATTAATCAAATGTCGGCTCTTTATCAGGTCAGACTACTAGGTATGGAGGAATACGATGTCATCAAAGACACTTGTGGATCCTGCCTTTGTGCAGCTTACACATTGGAGAAGATGACCTTGGTCAAATACCCACACAAATTAACATAACATTGCAGTGTGGGAATGTGTGCATTGTGTGTGGAGGAAGGGATAGAGTGATTTAATAGGTAAAGCCAGGAAAACCTTGGGGGAATGAGTAATATGCAATCTGGAGGAACAATAGAATTAACTACCCCCCAAAAATCAGGTTCATCTTCTGGAGTGGGACAAGACCTGTGTCTTCAAGGCTATGAAAGACAACAAATGTAACCAGAAGTAGGCAGCATAGAAGTAACAGAGTATGCACCAGGTTGGACACAGGACAAGCCATGTGGGTGTTAAACTAGACAGACAGTAAGATACAATGTGTTTTTCAGAAAGACTGCTCTGTGGCAAGAGCCTGGAAAGGGTGCACAGCCCATTTGAAAGCTAGTTTGTTATGGGGAGTGTGCACTAGGAAAAGAACCTCTATTGGGTGATAGAGCAGGCAGATGTGCAATGCAGTTCACACCTGTATCTTCTATCAATGGCCTTCTCTTTGTACTGTGGGACAATGGACTTGTGCCCTTCTCACTTGTATTGGTTTAATAAAGCACTGATTGGCCAGTAGCCAGTCAGGAAGTATAGGTAGGGCAACCAGAATAGGAGAATCCTGGGAAGAGGAAAGGCTCAGTCTGCAGTCATCACTGAGATGCAGAGGAAGCAAGATGAGAATGCCTCACTGATAAAAGGCACCAAGCCATGTGGCTAATACAGACAAGAATTATGGTTTAATTTAAGATGTAAGAGTTAGCTAAAATTATGCCTAAGCTATTGACCAAACAGTGTTGTAATTAAGATAGTTTCTGTGTTATTATTTGGATCTGAGAGGCTGGGACAGGAATGAACACTCTCTGTGTTACATCTTTGTGTCCTCAATCACCATCTGAGATACAAGCACAGCCTTCCTCCCTGTTTTCCGTTTGTGCCTAAAGAGGTCCATTGAGCTTGCTCCTAGGAATGCCTTCATATTTTCTTTCGATCTCTTTCTAAACATGAAGAGCAGGAGTATTTGTAATGCCTGGACTATTTCAACGCCAAGGTTATAGACTGAATGATGTCAAGTCAGATTATAGAACCGCCAACGTTCAAATGTTATCTGATGGGCCAGCATCAGATTGACAGAGATTTACAGCCTTCCAGGCTACCCCAGGAATTAAAAGTTCAAAATGATGAATTACCTAGTAAAGCAAAGGAGACTTCTACCAAATGCTTCAAGCACACTGTATGAGTGTGGATTAGTTACCAGAAGCCCCCTCCTATCTAGCATCCTTGTTTTGGAAGAATACATCCATCCATTCCAGGAACGGTGTTCTAGCATGGCACCGGGGCTTGGGAGCCGATGTGGACTTCTGCCTTCTAGGAACTGCACACTATCAGAATCAACATGGTTGATATGGTTTGTCATGTGTTAACAATAGTGCTATGTTCTTTAATGTCTCACATTGTGAGATAAATCAGTGTGCTCTCTTTATAAAAGTACCCACACCCAGGTGATGTGGGAGTGTCATATACCAATCTGTTGATTTCATTGGTTAAGCAATAAAGAAACTGCTTGGCCCTCATAGGTTAAAACATAGGTGGGAGGAGTAAACAGAACAGAATGCTGGGAGGAAGAGGAAGTGAGCTCAGAGAGACGCCATGCTCCCCTCTCCTAGGCAGACACACGCAATGAAGCAAGCCGCCAGGTCATACATGCTGAATCTTTCCCGGTAAGACCGATGCTACATGGTTTATTAGAGATGGGTTGATCGGGATATCAGAATTAGCCAGTAAGGCCTAGAGCTAATGGGCCAAGCAGTGTTTAAAAGAATACAGTTTGTGTGTTGTTATTTCCGGGCATAAGCTAGCCAGGCGGCCGGGGTGCTGGGGACGCAGCCCCGCCACTCCTATTACTACACCCAGGTACTTTGTTACTGTAATGCAAATGGACCAAGGCACCTAACAATAAAAACAGTAGAGTGTGATATACTTAGAGGCCAAGGTAGACAGAGGTAGACAGAGGCCAAGAACCACGAAGACCCCAGTCGGGGCAGAAGCGGTAACTGGTTCTGAGTGGGAGGTTCTCCACGGGGCACAGGTATCAAGCCAGAATCTGCTCTCTGGAGAAGAGAAAGCTGATAATATCAGGCAGAAGAAAAACTCTAAAGGCGTCCAAGGAAAAGGCAGGGCCAAGGACTCACGGGAGCAATGGAGAGGCTGCAGCTGAATGTGAGATTAACATTGTGGTGGACTCAGTAGAGGGCTACAATTACCTGCTTGGGGACTACACCGTATTGGTTGCCTATTGCTGCAAATTGCCCCCAAACTGGGGAATGTAAGGCCATGATTTCATGATTTCTGTGTCTCTGGAATCCAGATGTAGATCAGGGGTCATCTGGCTCAGGCTGAGGTGCCAATCAGTGCAAAAGTCAACCGTGTTGGAAGCATGGAACTGAGTGAGAATCACGTTCCAGGCCAACCACATGTTCTGGTTTTAAACACCAGTTCCTTATCACGGGGATGTAGCCATAGGCCAGCTCACATCATCCAGTGGGGCCAGCCCATTCCCGAGGACACTGCACAGGGTATTTCCCAGCAATGGATGGTAGGTGGGCACTGTTCTAGAGGTTGCACAGTGCACATACCAAGAGCCATTTGAGGTCTCATTTCACCCCAGTCTGTATAAATTATAAAGAGAAATGTGTGATTTCTCTGTGTATTGGGTAGTTTTTAGCGATGGGTATACTCTGGTCCCTGTGAGTCCTCAGGAACAGAGTGCTTTATCTCATACCTCCTGCTAAGGGTTTTATACAGTCCACTTGGCGCTCACACTGCTATCAGGAGATAGATTCAGCCAAAAGCTGCCTGTGGGGGTAGAAAGAAATGGGAAGTTGGGCTGTCAGATAAAGAGGTAAGCACCATCCCAAGCTGAAGCAAGGGAGGAGGAAGAGGTCTTACGCAGACTGCGGTAAGGAAGTGAGTCTGAGCGGAATCTGGTTGACAGCTCACACATTATGCCAACTTGCCACAGCTTGGCAGCGCCCATGGTTTTCCCACATGCGACTGAAAATAGCTAGCATTCATCCTGAGGGAGTGCTCCTAAAATAAGCAACCACTGGGAGCCTCACCTCGCTGCTCATTCAAGCTGGAAGCAGTCTGCAATTATTTGGCTGAAATTAGATACAAATTAAGTTGCCGCTTCCGGAATGTTCTCCTTTACTCTAGCACCAAAAAGAAGAAGAAGGAAAAACACTAACCACGTATAGTTTAAATCTTGCTTCTTAAAAATGCAAACGAACCCTAATAGAAGATCATTATTGAAATTTATCTTCTGTGAGACTTGATCCCATCACATACGAGGTTCCCTTATTTCTAGACCTGGATGTAGTTGCTATGGATGCAGAATGGCAGGAACAATGAAAAGGCTTGAGGATAGGAATGGCTAACACCCATTTGAGATGTGATGAGCCATTTGTTGAACTGGCCCCTGGGTGTGTGTGGATAGCCCTGCCCTCACCTTGTTTTACTATGGTCTGGAAGTATTCTTGGGGCTTGCGTCCATTTGAACAGTCCTGCACTTGAAAAAGCTAAGCAAACATAAAAATGGTAATTCAGGGGTCTTCTCTCCGATGTCTAGACATAACTGACACGCAGAGGATACAGAGACAGGGGTCTGTGCTGAGGAAGAGCCCCTGGTTTGTCCTCTCGCCTGAATCAAACAGTTGTTCACTTGCCGCTTGGAAAAGCGCATAGCCCTGCCTCTAAGAGCTGAGCTGCGCTGGACCTGATGAGGCTGCGGTTCCACGGCTAGGGATGACTTACCCCGGCAGTCAGTTCCCGTCGTCTTGGCAGAAGGCAAGGATTGCTTTCTTCTCATCGCTGGAGGATTAGTCATGAATGGGGCGTATTGCAAGCTTCCGGGGCCTGCTTCTCATTCACCCGCCATGCCCCCACCCCATCCTCACGCTGATCTAGGAAGTCTGAGAAACGACATAGTAAGTCAAGATTTTCCAGGGTGACCTTCTTTCTGGTGAAGTTTTGGGGCTTGTTGGCATTTGAATGTATACACCCCCATAATCCTTAAATTGAAGGAAAAGAAAGAAATTAAATGCTCACCTAAGCAAGCCTTATGGATGATGAATCCCTTGGACCTTGTTTAGCTTTTAAAAATTATTTTTGTTTTGCTTTTTCCAGATCTTAAAGCGTTTGGAAAGAAAGTGAAATTAGTTAAACCAAATCAAAGTAAGCTGGGTGACTTGAAATGAACTGACGTCAGCAAAGACTGCAGGCTGCTCACAATCTCTCCAGGAGTGCTCCTTTCTCCCTCCCTCCAGGCTGTAATCTAGTAAGGCCACCTTCTCATCTGGTGACAGAAGAAAGCACAGGCTGGGGTCCATTCAACCCAGAGCAGCAACCTTCCCTGGACCTTGTCCTTTTTCAGAACTTACCATAAGGTAAGACGCTCTGTTTAACAATGCAAGACTTGGGCCTGAACAGATGGCTCAGCCCTTAAAGGTTAGGCTCACAACCCAAAATATAAAAATGCAAGACTTGAAGTCACAACAGGACACTCTTGACAATAAAGGGTGTCACTAAGAAGACTCCTCCAAGCTTCAGACTGTGTCTCCTGGGGAGGCCTTTCCTTTATTATTTCCTACAGCTCCCTGCACTTCCCAAAGTTTGCAGAGGTCTTTGCATGTTCCCAGAGCAGGGAAACTGAACCCACCCACGACTTGAGCTTCATAATAGAAGGGAAAACCCAGGGTACCAATTTGCACAAATTCAGAACATTGATACCTCATTTATTTTCGCCAGTTAGGAAACTTTACGATTAGCCCCTTTTTTCTTCCCTACCTCAACGACTAAGAGGCTTCAGTTCTGCCCAGGGCCTCTGCAAGCGGACAGGCAATCAGCTGACAGGATGCATGCGGAAAAGGCCACTCTCCCTTTTCTTGTTACCTGGCCAGTTTCAGGCACTGCAAAAAATAGCTTCCCGGATTCTCACATTCACCCCGTGCAGTAATGAAGGCTCTGCCACTTTGCAGGCACCCTTCAGGGCCTTAGCATCAGGTTCTCAGGACTCCACGCCTCCATTAGCGGCCCCGGCCTGGATAAAAGTCCTTGGTGACCTTAAAAGTATCCATTTTAATCAGCAGGATCATTTTTGAGAGGAAACTCTTCTGAGCTTTCTGAGACAGCTGGGCTTTGGCTCTGGTTCCCTTCCCATCACAGGCCTTGGGGCCTGGAGAGCATTTCCCTCTGTGGTGGGTGATGGGGAGACAGGACAGGCCTCTCCTGTGCTGCCCTGCACGTCCAGTGGTCTAGAGCCCAGCTGCGCGGAGGAGGGGAACTTGCTCTCCAGCACGGGAGCAGCTTTCCCAGAGGCCAGACAGAGGCTCTGGTCTTGCTAACTAGTGCTGGGCGCCTCCCTCAAGAGCCTCAGGGTTCTTGGCAGAATGAACCTTATCCCTGCTGGGAGCGATGACTTTCTCAGGCCACGCTGAGGCCAGATGGCAGGCCACAGGGTGACCCACTAGAGCATTCGTGCTGAGAGGGTGGCACCCAGGACAGCAGAGAGAGGGCTCCAGGGCCAGCTGGGTCGCTAGGGACGCCCCCACGGAGACAGAGCTTACTCAGTACTGCGGTCCCTTGGGTTTCTTGACAGTATTTTGGGGTCACTGCCGGTGATAAAGGCAGAGCCTCCCTTTTATATACTAAGGACGCTAAACTCCAAAGCTATGGTTTTGGATTCTGCAAGCTGGAACCAGATCCAGATCTTAACGGCACAGCTGTGACAGATTCCGGCTCACTTATCCGGCCACTGGGGACCATGCCCTCAAAGCACGTGGGTCTGCAAAAGACAACTATGGAGATGTCGGTTTCTGCAACCATAGTGGCTCTGGACTTGGACCCAGAGGAGAGTGGTTTGACCTGATGATTCGCCAAACGATGCCACTAGCGGATATCTTTGGTGAAGTAGAGTTTCCTGGTCTGTGAAAGGAAGATTCAAATGCGGCCTAGCCGCTAGAATCCTGGGATTCAAAAGAAATGAGGAAGCCAGGGCTCAGCAGCACCTGCTGCGGGAGAGGCGCTCCGAGGAGATCTTCGATCTTCGGAATGCTGAACCGGAGGCAGCCCCAGTATTAGCAGAACAAGAGGAAGAGCGCTTCCCTGCGAGCATTTAGGGAAAGGCACGGCCTTAAGGGACCTCCTAGGCAGAGGAAACATCTTCTTTCCTTCACCTCCCCTCCCTCCACTTCCCCCACCCCCACGCTCATTGTTAGTCACACCTGGGCACCCTCTAGTCAGAGTGCAATGCGTTCAGCGAGGAGGTGCCAGCTCTACGTCCTGCTTGCTCTCTCTTGCTTCCCTGGGTGGGACAGGCTGCACCGGAAATGGCCATAAGTGGGTAAGAGAATGATGGGTGCTCATATAAAGTGTCAGAATGGAGCATGGGGAATCATAGGTTGTTAAAGATCAACATCCTGCCTGTGGAGTCCCTTGTGTAAACGAGGAAAAGCCGTGAAAGGTAAAACGACATCAAGCTTCAAGAGTCCTAATGTTTGGAATCCCAATAGTTCATTTATCCGCACTTCTTTGGACAGATGCCTCATATACTAACCACCAATAGAAGGTTTTACTGTAGAGGGCAAAGAAAAATGAGGGGGGGGAATGGGAATAAAAATGGATTCCATTGTTTTAACTCATGCGATTTCATATATAACAATACCATTTACTGCGATCATTCCTTTAAAAAAAAATTTTTAATTGACTTGAGAAGAAGACAGCAAATTTCAACATGTTTTGGATGTCCCTGTAGAATAGCCAGATGAATATCAACAGGAGGGGTTCGGATCATAGCTACCAAGTGTAAGAGGTTTGGAACTGTCCAATAAGGAATATTCAACAGAAGGTGGTACCTGAAATGGGGGCAGGGTTTAGATGGCCATAGAGGTATCAGATCTCAGCTTCTAATAATCAAATAAGAGATTCTGAGGAAATGCAGTGGAAATAGCATCCACGTTTCTCCAGGTTGAAGAAGCAGTCATAAGTGGGAAATGCCAGCAATGTCAAGCAAATGAGTACTGGAATCCATTCAGTTTAGCAATGAGGAAGTCATTGGTGAGTAATGCAATACTGGATTCATTCAGTGGGGCCGGGAGAGCAGAAACTAGGTCCGAACTGTGTTAGAAGCAAGTTGGGTTGAAAGAGGAGGAATTATATCAGATTTCAGGAGAGTTTGGACAAGGAAGCGAAAATTATTCTTGGAAAAGTTGGTGTTTGTTCTTTGGGTATCGTTGTTGTTTGGTAACTGTTTTCTTTATACTGGGAAGTGGAAAGTGTATATAGAGGAGAATAATCCTAATGGAAAGGTCATGACCAATCACGGCTGCAGAATAAGACATTATCCCCTCCATCATTCCAGAACTACAAGAGAAGAGCCCAATGTCAGTCAGGCAGATAGAAACCCAACCACGGACATTGCAAGCAATACCAAGCCCCTATGTAGCCTAGGTTCCATCCAAATATAAACACAAGTCTCTGCTGTCTGGCCAAAGGTGACCTTTGCAGCAAGGTGATGCCTTTCAGGCTAGACCCCTGACCAGGACTGCTAGGAAGTCACAGCAAAGGACTAGCTCATCTACTGTACTCAGAAGAACAGAGGAGAGGGCAGACCAATCAGGAAGCATAACCTCAGACTGGAGGTTGGACCGTAAGTTTACCGCCTTCATACTGCCACATCAGAGATAGACCAGGCACCCAAGACAAGCAAAACAAAAACAAAAAACAAAACCACAAACCAGATGTTGCTGTGGAATAAACACACACAGGCAGCCACTGCGAGGACCAGGGCAGGTCATGTTCTTTCCTGTTGACCCCATGAAGACAAGCAGGCCATTGAGGATCCACCACACACATTCTTCAAGCGCTGTGACCAAAACAGGGAACAGTTCTTACCAGCTCAGACACTGCTGAATGGCGATGCCTTGCTCTGTCTGGCAACAACTCTTACTTGGTGAGCTGTGGAAAGCCTAAGGAGGATGGCTCCCACCAGGCAGTCTCAGAGGCAGTGAATGGACTTCCGCCATGTTGGACTGGGCAGAGCAAGCAGGCAAAGCTGTGTTTACCCTAGCAATGACTCTACTTAGGATTTTAAGAAACGCTTAGCATTTTAAGAAGCCTTAAATGCAAATGATATCAAACAAACAACCTAATGATGCATCTCAAGATTCCCAGGGAGAAAAAATGAGCAACCAATCCTAATATATAGTACACAGCAAGAATAATAAATATAATGGAAAAATAAAATTGAGACTAAAAAAGTAACATGCAAAATCAACCAACCAGTTGGTTCTTTTTAAAAAAGTGGTAAGATTGCAAATCCTTAGCCAATCTGACAAAAAGAAATAGGGAGAAGACATAAATGAATAAAATTAGATATCAAATGAATGTCCTTACAACAGACTCCAATGAAATATAGAATGCTATTAGACATTACAGTGAAGACTTATTCTCCACAAATTTGGCTAACAGTAGACATAGAATAACTCCTAAGTCCATACAACCTGTTAAAATTAAACTCAGAAGATGTAAGCAACTTAAACAGACCCATTACAAGCAACGAGATAAAAAAAATGGTCAAATGCTTATCCTCAAAAAAAAAAAACACCCAGAATCAGTTTCCCTCCTGAATTCTATCACGCTTTCAAAGACCCCATGTCAATTCTTCTTACCTTGTTCCATGAAACAGAGAGTAAAAGAAGAAAAACTACCAAGTTCATTCTACAAAGCCAGTATTGTTCTAATACAAAAAGTAAATGAAGATTCACCACAAAAAAAGGAAACTGCAGACCAATTTCTTTAATGAGCATAAATACAAAACTTCTCAACAAAATACTTGCAAACCAAATTCAAGAACACATTAAGAGGATTATATATGCCTTCCACGTTGTTGGAAGAAGGAACTCCCACTGTTTGGGCCTTGCAGTATACTCCAGGTAGCTAGCCAGCAAACTTCTTGGGGATGCTCCAATCCGTGCTTCCTATTGGGAGAGCTGGGATTACAGATGTGTACCTGTGCATCCAGCCTTTTCATAGGGGTTCCAGGCAATGAACTGAAGTCAGGCTTTTATGGCAATCACTGTCACCCCTGGAACAGTCTTTACAGCCTTTATTGTCAACAGGTGAAACACCATAATCTTTTCTTTAATTAGTAAAAAGCGGGTAGCGAGGAAAAGAAACTCTCACCAATTTTACTCTAAAATGTATGTTGTATTTTTTGGAAAGAGCGTTATTCCATATGGAATATTTTGAAATTTACAATGTATGAAGCTTTTAATTTCAGAACTGAAAAAAAGAAAAAGAAAAGAGAACTCGTAAAAAAAAAATCATTTCTCCCAAGAAGAGGAAATAAGCTTCTCATTCCCTGGAGTCCGTCCATGGATTCAGAAGGACTGGCTTTTGTGATGTGCAGAACTCCAGGGTTTTATATGTTTATCAGATATTGATAGCATCTTTCACAGTTGCTCTGTGCTGTGCTGGGTGTTGGAGATACGAGCGAGCAGGCTCATTTCTGAGAATGAGGGAGAGAAGTGGACACACACTCTGGGGTGTGAAGGCTTGCACTCTGAGAGCTTACAGGAGGAAGTCAAGTGTTCAGCAAGGAGGCTAGCCCAGACAACAGACTGCCTGAGGCTAGCCCAGATAACAGAATACCTGGGGCTTTCTATTCTCCACTGTACCCTGTGTGGTGCTGCGCATCGGGAACAAGGAGGGCATCTATTTGAAATCCTCTTTGGCAGCCTTGGGGCAGTTGGGATCTGTGATATCTGAGAAACAAGAGCTACTGGTCTTATCATCTTCCTCTGTGGGCTCTAGCATGACTCCCAGGCTAAGAGCATCCTGGCTATCCTTGCAACAGAGGCATTTTGTGTGTTACCTTTAAAAGTTTATATATTTTTAGAGCAAGGGGACCAAAACCAATAAAATGGATGGCCCAGGTGATTCAGCATTTCAAAATGCCTCTGTTACAGTCCCCTCAGAATTCTGCATCCAGAGCAGCTTCAAGGCTGCTGACTGTGATGATACAACATCACAGAATACTCCAGTCAGTACTTGACCATAATCCCAAATTTTCTCAGGGTCTCCCAAAGATAACAGCACCCACAAACAACAGGAAACAGTCTAAAGAACTATGTTCACATTTCCCAAAGATGGGTTATGATGGATACTTATTATCATTTAAAGGGGCTTGGTTACAGTTGTTATTGGTAATGATGAGGAAAAAGCTAAAAAAGGAGATTAGTTCCAGGGATCTTGTTCTAAAAAAATGCAGAATAAAGAAATAATAGGATAAAAAGTAATTATTGAATCTACATTAATCCAAAAAACAACAATTAATATTAAATATTTAACATTGGTATGGATTTTGGCTTATTGATACAAATTTAAAAGTAATTTTGTTATACTATAATATATTCTACTCTTGTTCAAAGTATTGTGTTTATGCAAAAATGTAATGTACAATTAAGAAATACAGATTAATAGACATCTATAAAAGTCAAGCTTATAGTCATGTTAGGTATATTTTCAAGGTCAAACACAGATAAATTTAGATGGGTAGATGGTCTTCAGACACTTCAAAGATCTGAAGAATATAGCATCTAATATGTTTAATAACCTAAACCTTTCCATGACAGTGAAACACATCTGTCCCTGGCAACACCAATGTACTTCAGAGGGCATGATAGGCATCGAAGAAACTCCATATGGAGTCTTCCTTTATGCCAAAAGTTAGCCATGTAGGCAAATAAACTGACCTTGCCTCAGTTGCTGACAATATACTGTCCAAACTGGACCAGAAGGACACAAGAAAGGTAACTGGTGAGCTTTGGTAAGATAAGGTAGACAGTCCTTCAGAATTCTGTATTTCTTCTCTTAGACCCCTTTCTTCACCCTTCTTGATATTTAATCATTCCTTATTAATCTCCATCCCTCATCTCTCTTGAACTATATGTTTTAAATCTTTCTTAGTTTATTACTCTATACCTGTAACATACTCTATAATCTCTGTCCTTGTTCTGATAGTAACATACTTACTGAAGGCTTAAATGCTAACATCTGTATATAAGATATTCTCTTATATATACCATATTTGCCTTGTGGGGTCTCAGTTATCTTACTCAGGATAAATTTTTTTTCCTAACTCTATCCATTTTCCTGTAGAATTTTATGATTTCGTATTTTCTAACAACTTCCGTTGTGTAAATTCATTACCCATCCCCACACTAATAGACATCTAGGTGATTTCCAGTTCTGAATATGATGAATAGAGCAGCAATGAACATAAATGAACAAGTGTCTCTGTAGTGTAACAAAGAGTCCGTTGGGTAGAAGCCCAAGAGTGGCACAGCAGGATCCTGAGATAGATCTAGTCTCAGCTTCCTGAAGAACAGCCACACTGATTTCCATAGTTGTTGCACAAATTTGCACGCCCAGCAGCCATGGCTGAAGGCGCTTAACCCACATCCTTGCCAGCATGAACTGTGATTTGTTTTATCGATCTTGGCCAATCTGCTATAAGATGGAATCTCAAAGTAGTTTTGATTTGCATTTCCCTGATGACTAAGGATGTTGGACATTTCTTTGTTTC